ATTCCAATTGAAGGCACAGATGAAACTATCCAGGTTGCAACCACTCGTCCAGAAACAATGCTTGGTGATACTGGGATCGCAGTCCATCCCGATGACAAACGGTATCAAAAATACCTTGGCAAATTTGCGAAGCATCCGTTCCTGGACCGATTGCTTCCAATTTTTGCTGATGTCAATGTTGACCCTGAATTCGGTACTGGCGCTGTCAAAATAACACCCGCCCATGACTTTAACGATTTCATCCGTGGCAAAGACAATAATCTGGAATTTATTTCTATTATGAATGACGACGGTACTTTCAATGCCAACGCTGGCCCCTTTGCAGGAGAGAAGCGATTTGATGCGAGATACAAGGTCATCGAAGCTTTAAAGGAAAAGGGCCTGTACGTCACATGGGAGAATAACCCAATGAAAGTACCTGTTTGCGTCAAGTCAAACGATATCATCGAACCAATCTTGAAGCCACAGTGGTGGATGAGAATGAAGGACCTTGCCGAGCCAGCAATTAAGGTCGTCGAAAATGGAGAGATTATAATTCGCCCTGAAACCGCTGAGAAGAGCTACTTCCGCTGGATGAAAAGCATTAATGACTGGTGTCTGTCTCGCCAACTTTGGTGGGGTCACCAAGCTCCCGCTTACTTTGTGCAGATTGAAGGGGAGCATGGTGATGACAGCGACGGCAATCTTTGGGTGGTCGGCCGCAGTGAGGCTGAAGCACAGAAGAAAGCCGACGCAAAATTCGCTGGAAAGAAGTTCACGCTCAAGAGGGACCCTGACGTGCTTGACACGTGGTTCTCCTCCGGACTCTGGCCATTTTCCACCCTGGGATGGCCCAAGAATACTCCCGATTTTGAGAAGTTGTACCCTACCTCCGTGTTGGAGACAGGCTGGGATATTCTCTTCTTCTGGGTCGCTAGGATGATCATGCTTGGTCTTAAAATGACAGGAAAAGTTCCCTTTACCGAGGTGTACTGCCACTCGTTAATTCGAGACTCTGAGGGGAGGAAAATGTCTAAGTCACTGGGTAACGTTATAAATCCTGTAGATGTTATCGAGGGCATCGAGCTGCAAGTGCTGCATGACAAACTAAAGCACGGCAATCTGGCAGAGAAAGAGATCTCTGCAGCCACAAGATATCAAAAGAAGGCATTTCCAAAGGGTATTCCTGAATGTGGTACTGATGCTCTGCGATTTGCTCTTGTTTCCTATTCCACTGGTGGTAAGTTGCTGTTTATTCCTATGCCTAGTATAAGAAATGACTCCCTAACACGTCCTTCACATTTCAGGCGGCGATATCAATTTCGATATCCAGGTGATACATGGCTACCGCAGATTTTGCAACAAGATCTATCAAGCTACCAGATATGTTCTCGGTAAACTAGGTGAGGATTTCAAACCCCAAGCAACCCCCGCCAAAACCGGCAAAGAATCACTCTCCGAACGCTGGATTCTTCACAAATTCAACAACGCTGCCAAACTCGCCAACGAGAGTCTGGAAAGCAGAGATTTCTCAGTTGCATCCTCAATCCTCTACCAATACTGGTACAGCCAACTTTGCGACGTCTTCATCGAAAATTCCAAATCTCTCCTGCAAGCCGACGTCCCCGCTGAAATCCAACATTCCGCCAAGGAAACTCTGTATACTGCCCTGGAGGGCGCATTAACTCTGATCCACCCCATCATGCCCTTC